GGTGCAGCCCCGCAGGGATTTCCGCACCTCTAGTCCTGTCTGGGTGGACCGCGAGGTCCTTCTGGAAGCACATCCCGCCAGAAGTGTCCCCAGCGGCCACGCCGGACCCCAAGGAGGCAGAGGAGGAGAAGCTGCTGGAGAAGACAGGCTGCCACGGGGAGAGCACAGACCCAGGGCCTACATCCCACCTGCAGGGCGCTCTCACTCCCGGGGGAGGGGGAGGCCAAGAAGGGGCAACCCGCACCCTCACCCCTGCTTCCCCAGCGCCCCCCTGCTGCCCAGGCACAGACTTCCAAGTTTTTAATTTTAGCCACAGAATCCTTATTTCCGTTTTTCACCCCAATCATATCTAGACTTTCAACCTTCAACAGCTCACAGCAGAGCATAGTGAACAGACGGCTCTGTTTGTCTCCACCAGCCCAGCTTCCTGACGCGCACGACCGCCATGCTGGGGTCCCGCTGCACCTGCTAGCGGAGGCTGGGGGGCGGTGCAAAAGGGCAAATACACAGCCGGGCGTGCTGGAGGGGAGGCAGCTGGGAGTCAAAGTGGCTGCCCTCTGGTCATGTGAGCAGGACACCCACCTGGGCCCTGAACATGAATGTATGTGTCTGTGTGTAATATACGGAGGGTCTCCAAGGCCCCAACCGGCCCTCTTTGGTCCTGGAATTACGGCAGGACGACGAAGTCCCGGGGGCCACTGGGGCCAGTATCTCCACTCCGGCCCCAGCCATTAGTCTACCTGCTGCCCATCTCCACTTGCCCAGCGAACCTGCGCTTCCCAGCACTTAGGCAGTGACAGAGTGACTGGCAGCTCCAGGTCCACCTGTGATTTGGCTCAAGGCCACCGACTCTCTGACTCTCTCCCTGGAGGAGGCGGCTCCCGTGTCTGTGCCCAGATTCCCCGGGTGGTAGAGGGTACAGGCTGGAGTTTACCGGAAGGAGGTGAGTGCGGTGGTTCCTGGGCCTTCCCCTCAACTGCAGATCTGCGATTGATACCACCCACTGCTCAATTCTCCCGGAAGGTAAACAAGTCCTTTGTCTGGCTCCAGGCAGGTGGCCTCTGCTGACCCCGTGGGAAGCTCAGGCCTCACTCAGAAAGGGAGGGTTGAGCATTCAAGGGGCTCCAAATGCTCCACCCAGTGGCCTGCAGGTGGCCTGGTGGGAGGCAGGGCCACAGACTGCACGCTTCTCATGGCCAGGCCAATTCGAGATTTTCGAAAAACGTTTAGGGATAAAAGTCAAAGTGTTTTTGTGTTGCACAACCATCAGCAGGGTCTAATTCCAGAACACTTCCATCACCCCCCACCGGAACCCTGTACCCATTAGCTGTCACTCCGCCTTCCCCTCTCCAGCCCCTGGCAACCTCTAATCTACTTTCCCCGTCTATGGACTGCCCTCTTCCAGAAGGGGTACAAACAGAACCTTGTGACCTTCTATCGCTGGCTTCTTTCACTTAGCATAATATTTCTGAGGTTCATCCACGTTGTCGCATGTGATTTTATGACCGAACGATATCCCATCATGTGCAGAGACCATTTTATTTACCCATTCGGCAGGTGATGGACATTCGGGTTATTTCTGTCCTTTGGCTACTATGGATCACACTGCTATGAACACCCGTGTCTAAATCTGTGTGGACATGGGTTTGCACTTCTCTTCGGTGTATATCCAGGAGTGGAATTACTGGCTCATAGGGTAAATCCATTTTTAACTTATTGAGGAACTTCCAGACTGTTCTCCACAGTGGCTGCACCGTTTTTCACGCCAGCAAGCAGTGTGTAAGTGGTTCCGATTTCTCCACATGCTCGCCAACACTTGGAATTTTCCATTAAAAACAAAACAAAACTGTAGCCATTCTAGTGGATGACATGTGGCAAGTCACCTCATTTGGAGTCCCCACAAACTAATGGGTGACATGAAACATCTTTTCACGCACCTACTGTCCATTTGTATGTCTTCTTTGGAGAAGAGTCTGTTTGAATCCTTTGCCATTCTTTTTATTAGGTTGATTATCTTTTTGTTAATGAGCTGTACGAGTTCTTTACATATTCTAGATGCTAGATCTTTATCAGATATCTGATTCACAAATATTTTCTCCCATTCTGTGGATAGCCTTCACTTTCTTTCTAATGTCCCTCCCTGCACAAAAGCTTTTTATGTAGCTGAACCATGTTGTTTGCTTGTAGGATTCAGCCAACCCAACTCCACCAACTAACGTGTGTAGGAGGCTCAAAAAGTCAGTAAACCAGCAGGCTTGCCCTCGGGGACCTCAGAGTCTACCAAGATAAGACATGGAGTAGATTTTCCATCTGTGTGCCTGATCCTAAATCAGGAGGGTGTCTGGGGTAGTCAGATTGTGTGGCCTGCACAGGGTCCTTTCTAGAGGTCCCCAGGGAAGCCACAGTCACCCTCCAAAGCAGTCGACCAAGGGGTCCAGACGAAGGGGTAAACACAAGTCTTTTCAGAATGACTGGTGGGGTCACACAGCCAGAAAGAGGAGGAGAAAGATGAACTTTGGGCTCCAGATCCAGTGCTCCCTGTCCAGGGAAGGCCCCTCTCTCCACCCTTCCAATGAGCCGGTTGTTTTTCAAATAAGCTCTCTTTAGCACACCTGGTTCCTTGTAGGTGATTTTAAGATAGAGCTTTAAAGATGACTGGTTTTTTTTTCCCTCCCAGCTGATGGGATAATGCTTTCAAAAGGACATTGAAATCGGTTAGAAAGGACATAAGGTGTCACCTACTTCCACCCGAGGGGCTTGGGACCATCCCAGCAGGCCCGGTCTGGGAAGCATAGAGGGGGGTCACTGAGAGCACTAGACGCTGGACCCGGGCCTGCCCGGTGTATGCGCCACGCTTGAGGAGGCCAGTTTTTCTCTCTCTCTGGAGCTGTTTGTCCAGCTGTCCAACGAGGTGGATGTGAGAGCAGGTAGCATTCGGTGCTCCTGAGGACGGCTCTGCCTCTCAGAAGCCCGCCCCCCACCGTCCGGGACGCAGAGACAAAATGTGTCCCACTCTGCAGAACAACTGTCATGGACCATAGCTGAGCAAAAGGAGCCCGATGCAAAAGAGCGCCTTCTGCCTCATTCCCTTTACATGAAGTTCTAGCCGGGGCAGAACCCACTAGAATGACAGAGGTCAGCGCATCGGCTGCCTGCCAGGGCAGGGGCTGGGGGCTGTAGCAGGGAGGGGAGCTGAATGGGAGGGGAGCATGGGAGGACGCTGTGGGAAGGAAATGCTCTATACCTTGGTCAGAGCGTTGGCTACACTGGCAGACACCTTGGTCGCCACTCAAACTGTACACTTGAAATGTGTGCGTTATAGTGTATGGACACTTTACCTCGAGAAAGCTGATTTTTAAATCCAATCCTTGTTGTACCCGAGCTCTAGGGCCAGAATGGCTGCCAATGCCATGTACCCTGGCAGACTCTCCGCACGCGACACCCCGGAGCCCTGAGCCCATCCCTCTAAAGGAGGGGCCTGTGCCCTGTGTCCATGGGGCTGACTGATGTGTCCAAAGATACACAGCAGACCCCAGCCCAGAGCCGACACGCCACTTCTGTAGCCACGGTGCACTCCTGGGTGGCCAGGAAGGGGGCCCATGCTCCAGCCCTTTGGGGACCACTCTGCCACCCCCGACCTCCCAGCTGGCCCCCCACACCCCTGTCCCTTCACCTGGAGAACGGTGGGGCGGGGGGGGGGGGGGTGACAAATGTACTTTCTGAGTAATCTCATAACAAAAGGTGGCAGAGCCCGGGAATGGGCCGTGTGGGAAAGAGGAAACAAGGAATCCTATGAGTAACTGCTATCTATCTGACTTTCGGTCAGCCTGTATTAGATTGGGCTGTTATTTCAAGGCAATCAATAAATCAGCAGCCAATGGCCTTGCTGAGTCCAAAGTTAATTTTCCTCCCTGCCAGGCAGCCCCAACTCCCCTTCCTCAGGCGCCCAGCTGCACACTTCATCCAATTAAGGGGCCGGAAGCAGGCCGCAGAGCTCGCCCGCAGGGGGCTAGACGCCAGGGGCCGAGCTGTGGGATGACGCAGGTCACTGTCCCGCGGGCTGTACGGGCATAGGCGTGGGAGGCAGAATGACCAAACAGCCCACTGTCGCCACTCCTGGCTTTGCTCGCCTTCTAGATTCCCAGAATCCCCACGATGGAGATGGGCATTCCCAGCCCTCCCCTACCGCGTGCCCGACTTCCGCTCCCCCCGAGGTCGCCCCATAAATCCAGGGCCCCCCCCCAAGGTAAACCTGAATTTCACATCAATAACACATACATTTTAGTATAAGTGGTCCCAAATGTTGCAATCTGCATCAAACCCACACTGAACCGGGGCTCCGTATTTGTGTTTGCCACATTTGGCAACCATGCCTCTCCCACACCCGTGGCCAAGCAAGGGTCACCCAGCTCAGCTCTGTAATGGGGAGGTCTCTTCTTCCATAACGCTGATTCATTTTCTTCTCTTTCTTTCTTTTTCTTTTTTTCTTTTTTTCTTTTTTTTTTTTTTTTTTTTGCAAATCTCTCCCATAGGCTCTGTGTTCGGGCAAAAGAGACAGGCTGTCGGCTGGTGGAGCAGGAATAGATTGGGATGGGAATCCAGGGACCCAGGGACACAATTCACAATCCCTGACCCACCAGCAGCCAGCGGTACATCTGGAGGCACATGACTTCACTGTGTT